TCACTTGGGATAGGGAGCTTCGCAAGGTGATGTTCAAAGCCCACTACTCTTCAGGCTGTGGTTGGGTTCTGTGATTTTGAAAACTTTTTTTTAATTCTCCTCTCCTAAAAACATTAAGACTGCAGGAAGGGGACCTGAAGAAATAAACAGAAACTTTCAGAATCTGATAGAACTAGCAAAAGTACATAAAATCAGCTTATGGGGTAATTTGTTTGAAATCTAGGCCAAAGTCTTGTTTGTTCTTTGCTGGAAAGGGCTTTTTATGGAGGCAGAAAAGGAAAGCCAATAAAATTACTCGGCCAGGAGGGAGGGTAAACCTGGACTATGTTCCCAGAGGCTGGGGCTCCTGAATCCAGAGAATTCCTCCTATAGTCCAAGTTTGGGGCAGGGTTGGATAGAAAGCAGAGGTCAGCTGGTTGGTCCTCTGTGCCCCAGCGGGGGAGGAGCAGAGATAACAACAGGACCTCTGCTGTGTGTGCTGAGACTCCTGGAGGGACGAGCGCCCACAGAAGCACCACACAGATGGAAGGACGCAGGAGTCTGCACAGTCCAGGTCAGCTCAGGAGGGCTTGGAGAAGCCAGCAGGCACAAGGTGGTATATGAACTGGGCTTGGCGGGAAAGTGTCCAGGGGAGGGTGCAGTCCCAGCAAAGGCTGGAGACTGAGAGTACAGATCATGGTCCCGGAAGAGGCCTGGAACCGAGATGCATGCTGGGAGGGAGAGACAAGGAAAGAGAAGCTGCAGCAAGCAGGAGAGCTTGGGTGCTGGGTTCAGGCCCTTGAACTTGACTCCAACACGTCATTAAAGATTACTGAGAAAGAGGGTACTGTCTGTCTTAACCCCTTGAAGTGGGGTGGGGTTGGAGGAGTGGTGCCCTGCAGCCACTGGAAAGGAGAGGCTCTGCTCAGTTACATCTGGAGAACCCACTACACAGCTGATAAGCAAAGGAGGGCTCCCTGCCTGGGCTGTGAAGTTGGCCAGGAGCACAGCATTCTGGTGCAATCTGGCCCTCCCCTCAGCTCCTCCCTTTCCCTTCACTAACAGTCTCTTCGGGAATTGAGCATTTGGCAGGCTCAGGCATCACTGGCTCAGCGTGTCCCATTCAGGCAGGAAGCAGCACTGCCCACATCAGCACCCAGCTGATGGTCAGACTGAGGCAAATAGTAATGAAGAAGGATAAGACAGGGCGCAGACTCAGTGGCAAATGTCTGCAGTCACCCCAAACCCCACACCTTCTGCTTGCCCAGGTCTCTGGGTTGAGTCATGGTCTTCATAGCTCATGATCTCAAAAGGCTCCCCTGTCTCAGGGGTCATGCAACATTCAAAGTAGGAAGAAGGTGGAATGGGCAGTCAGTTCCTCTGCCACATCTGTCCCTTAAAGCAATAAGCCCTACAGAAACCTCTTAGCCAACTTTCCCTTGTGTCATATAGGTGAGAAATGAGGCTCCCAGTCACTGTGTTACAGAGCCCAGGTCTGGCAGTTACCTCACGGGAAAACCTGGAGACATGCGTTGGGAAAAAAAGAAGTGGGAGCTTTGCTTACAAATGAAATTCTCAACCTGGAGGTATCTGGTCATCAGGGATATAGGGTAGGAATAATGAGGGAGACAGACTAATGAAGAGGAGGGATATTAATGTTCTTTTAGGGAATAGTTAGAGCTCTTCCAAGAACCGATGGGCCATCTCTTTCATGGTCTTGGTGTTTCTGGTCATGGTAAGCTGCTAGGTGTCTTTAACCTTGAAGCAAGAGGAGAGAGGTTAAGCGAGTCTAAGGCAAGTTAATATTGGATTATAGTTCTGGTCAAAACATTTCCCAAGTGATGCCTACATGAAGATCTGGGTAGCATCTGACCCAAAGGCTAACATAGTAGTGGGGACAGACATGGTATAGGGGCAGAGATGCCAAACCTTCTCATCCTGTTCTAGCTACCTATTAGACATCTGGAGACCCAGGTGAAGGCTCAGTGTTTTTAGAAGAAACAGCCTTCAAGTCCCTGAAAAGTTACCTAGGAAACTGTAGTCATAATAATCCACATGGCAGTGACATTATCCAGAGCAAAGCCAGTGGGAGACTAATGAAATGACAAGGGGAGAACTAATCATGTGACCTCTCAAATTAGAGCTTTTTTTTTTAAGTCTACAAAGAGCAATTGATGCTAAAAACTTTATTGAGGTCTTTCTTCTGAAATAATTGCTAGCAAATTCATTCCTGCAACTTGGATATAGTTCCTATAAGATGGCCCAGGAGTCAGACCCCAATGTCCAGTGCCTGAGATGAGAGGTAGCCAGTGCAAAAGTGAGGGGAGTGGCTTCTGTACTAGTGGACAGATCCAGGGCCTTGGGAACACGGTGCTGTTTAAATCAAGTCAGAGAACAAAACCAGCAGCTAGAAATGGATCTGCCTGGGAATGGCAGTTAATGGAAAGTTAAGGGAAAGTGCTGGGAGCCATCTCCACTTTGGGGATATCTGACAGGGACCCTTCATAGCTGCCTAGGCTTTTTCATTCCTCCTCACTAAGCAGACACCGTGCATGTCTATCAAGCAGTGTCTCCCAGCCCGTGGTCACTATGGAACTTTCCAAGGTCAGAATGAGGATAAAGCTGTATTTGGGGCGATGCAACAGTCTTTGTATCCAAGACTGTATGACTCCGTCTGTTTCTGTGTCTATAACAAAATACCCAAGTCCAGGAAACCTAGAAGGAACGGAGGTTTATTTAGCTTATTGTTCTGTAGACCGAGAAGTCAGACCGTGGCACTGATGTCTGCCTCAGCTTCTGCTAAAGCCCTTTCTGCATCATGGCATGGTGGAGGGCATCTCACAGTGATGCAGAGCAACCATGATTCATTCAGGTCCCTCTTTCTCTTCTCATGAGTCTATTAGTTCCATCCCAGTGCCCCACCCTCACGACCTCATCGAGTCCTCATTACCACCCAAAGGCCCAGCTCACACACCAGCACTTTATAAGCTGATTAATTTACAATAAGTGGAATTTATGGGACACATTCAAACCACAACAGAGAGCATTTGGTATTTTGTGTGTGGCACACAGACTTTGTTTTTATCTGTGCCTAGGTAAATTATCACACGGACCTGATTTTGTTATTTTCTCACGGACTCAGGGCAAAGTTGTCTGAGACGGGTAGTCCATGAGATCATTTATGTCCAGTAAAAGAATAATGTGGCCTCACAGAGAGTTCAAACCAACTTGCATGTCAGGGGCTGCTCTTGCTGAACACTTATAAGCAAGCACATAAATAAAGAGAAAAGAACACACCCACATCTTTAAGGTTTATCTTCGCATTTAACAACTACTAGGAACTAGTAAGGCTAAAAGAATAATGTTTCATGTACAGCCTGTGTTTAAATGTTGATGTCTTCTGACCCAGTCATTCTACTTCCAGAAAATTCTTGAAAGCAGGCAAAGTTTTACACAAGGAGAGTGTTCATTCAACTATTACTGAAATACAGAAGAAGAAACAACTAAAGATCCAACAGGTAGCGGAGGACAGCAGAGAGGACAGGGCAGCCCACAGCAGAGCCAGGGACTGGCAGGACTCCAGGCCCTCATGAGATGAAACGTCTCGTAGGAGGACTGTTGCAGGAGCAATGAGGTGCAGGCCTCAGGAACCATGAGGGGCACCAGAAAACCTACTGAGACGGGGCCTTGGGCATAAGGTACAAGAGTTTAATTCAGAATGGGAATATATATATGTGGACAATTTTTGTATTGAAGGAAGTGGAGCATAATTACAATACATATAGGATTTGACTCAGAAAAACTTAGTTCAAGTCCTGGCTCACCACTACTATGAAAATGTGGGCATGTTACTTGACTTTCCTGATAGTTTCTTCTCCTTTAAAATGGGAGCTAAAATGGCGCTCACCGCATGGAATGTCTGTGATCATGGAATAAAATGTATGTGCATCACAGACCCTCAATGAACACTAGCTGTTCTCATTAACACACAACCCCAGGTACTTGCCAGAATTTCTTCCCATCTGTTTTGTGAGTGGCTGCTGTTGTTTCAAGAGAGTTGGCCATCTCTTTGAGATATGATAGAAGAAATAAAAATAGGTAACAGGTGATAAAGAAACTAGTTTTTTTTGTCTCCCTTATTATCTTAAAAGTCTGAGGCAGATCCTGCTCAGCTCTGTGTGTCAATCATTTAGAAAAATTTGGCAAAGCAAAGTTTATTAGCTCTAAATTTACTTGGCCTATCTCATACTCTTTAAGACCGAGAAGAGTAACTAGTTTTTAGGATTTATAGGAACATCCAATTATCAGCATTCACCATGCCAGCTTCCAGAGCCAACATGTAGAAGTCTCCGAACTTGTAATTACCTGGGTTCCTGGCTTTGCAGAGACCACACAGCTCAGCTAATCTTAAAAACTAGCTTCGTGCTGTGAGACTGCGCTGCTGGTCTGACCCTATTCATCAGAGCACCTTTCCCAGCTGCTCAAACTGGAGTCCTTTCCCTACTTTTCTCTTACCTCCTTTTGCTAAGAGGTCTGCTTGATCTTGTCAGCTACTCAGGCTAAAATTCCTTAACACTCTCTAATTTTCTAATTAAAGCCTTTTCCTGAAAAATTGTGCTTTAGTTTTTAACTTTCATTATCACTAAATCAAGAGGTTGTGTTAGCCAGTGGCATCCTCATCCCTCTGTCCTCTCCCTGTTCCCTCACAGGGCACGAGGCCTCTGCACTGGCTTGGGCGAGGGCACAGCGAGCTGGGGCAGGATGACAGCTTTTCCTTAAACAGCAGCTGCAGAGCCCTATGGTCGGAGAACGCTCTAGGCGAAGTCCGCTGTGGCCTTTGCCGCACCCCTGAGGGAACTGCAGAAGAGCTGACACCTGGCTGCTGCTCAAGGTTGCCCCACATGGCTCCCTTTCCATCCTATAATTTATTGTTTTCTCCTTTCTTCCAGTCTGGACATCCCAGAGAGCTCTCCAGGACAATGTTACTGGTGTCATGGCCGGCGCACCCTCTGCAGGTATCTGTGCTTCCTTTTCTACGGTGGGCTCCTGCTCACAGCCCACAACTGAAGTGGTTCCTCCAAAGCTGAGGGAGCCTGCAGAGAAGTCAAGGGTGGAGGAGAGGAGCCCCAAGACAAAACCAGAAATCTCTGGATCCTAGGTTGAGGGAGTTTTCCTCCCAGGACCACTCCTAGCTCCAGGATCCAAAAGCTCACTTCCTACCCACTGTGCCTCCTAACTACTGCTTCAAGAGGAAGTGAAGGAAAGCAGAGGAGGTGGGAAGAGGATAGGAAACAGAAGAGCGGGGAGAAGATGGGACAGTGACCTGGTGGTCTTGTATGTCACCTGCACCCTGCTCCTGGCCGACCCTGGGGTGCTGTGCATGAGCAGCCTCCTCCTTCCAGCTCCAGACCTGCAGGGCTCAGCAGGAAGAGACCCAGACTGACCCAGAACTTGACACATTGTGACCTTTGCCCCCTTCCATCTGTGTGACCTGGAGCTCCTCACGTGTCACATAAGAACTGTACCTTCCGTGGTCTTGCAAGGATCAGGTGTAACACGTGGATGTGGCCAGGATGGTGCCTGTCACATAATAAGTCCTCCTGCAGTGTGGGCTTTCTCACCTACCTGACCTTATTAGTTCCAGATGGAAAGCCCCTCACAAGATGTGTTAGGGTACCAGCCCTGCACTGCCAATAAATGCACCTACTCACTAGGTGGATCTGCCCCAGGCTGTGACAGATTTCAATTATCTGATGGAAAAGAAAACTCTGAAACAGAAGCAAAAAGGAAACGACCTTCCAGCCCCCAAATCAACACCACCTTCGTTCAGTCCTGTTTTCATTCCCACCTTGCTCAGGTGTCGTGGACCCATGTCTGCTCTTCAATTCTTCACCATCCCTGGAGGACAAATTTTGCTGTCAGTAGTAGTCAGGTGAAGAACAAGGGAGAGAGGGAGGATTGGAAACCAGGAGCTTGTGGCCGGCCTGGGATCCTAAGGCAGGGCTGGAGTTGATTGATTCTTTAGGGCAAACTCTCTCATGTTTAATGACTGGGCCAGCTGAGGTCAGAGGTGCTACCTTAGAGCAGGATGCCCTGAGACATGGAGAAATTGTTATTGGAGTCCTTGACCAGAGACCCAAGTCTGGGGATCTCCCAAAATCGGTTCCACCTACTCGCCCAAAAGTCAAATGGCAAAAGTAAAGGTGAAAAGCAGCAGAACTATAACCAGTGTAGTTGTAGCGGGAAGGTAAAAGACCAAGATCCTCAGCCCTGACTCCAGAGGTACTGGCATGAGCTCCCAGATTGTGCAGATGAAGGGACAGAAGCATGAGCAGTCATGCAGTCCGGGTTGATTGCTGTCTTAGGTTGATTGGTTAGGCGAGGTGAATCCAAAGCGATAAGAAAGGCCCTGTTTCCTGAGGAGTAGTTTCCGCTCACTAAAAGACTCTAATGCAGGACTCGGAGCAAAGTAGACAGATGCAAAGTAGAGGCCCAGATGCTGAATGTTCACTCTGCTGTGGTTTCCCTTTGGACACCTGCAGGCCCAAGTGAAGAGTCAGTGCTGTAACAAAGGCAGCCTCTAAGTCCTTGTCATAAGATCACAAAGATCAGAGCCGAGGATCCATCGCCACCATCACTACCCACCTAAAGAATCCTCCTCTGCTGCCAGTCTTAGAGGACCCAGGATTAGCGGGAGAAATCTTTCTTTCATGACAATTTTAGTCCATAGTCCGTAGTCTGAAACATGAGTTTTCAAAGATAGGTTTAAAAAATTGTTCACGAGTTAGCTCTCAATTCAAATTCCACACTTTCTACTTTCTGGCTTTGAGCTGCCATTTCCTGTCTGAGTCTCACTTTCTTCTTCTGTGAAATAAGAGTAATGCTTCTAAGAAATACGTATTTATACCGTGTCAGTACACAACGAGCTACATATGCTTACTAAAACCTGTAACTGCAATCCCAAACCTGCAAATCCCTGCAAGCAAGTACTATTTGAGTGATTCACTTATTCAGTAATTGTGCCCTCTGCTGGATTGAGACTACTTATGGCTTTACATTATTTGTCTCACCTTCAGATATTAATGCATTTGATAACTAGGATTGGCAAGTAACACAATGTGTGTATCTCGTATTCCCTTTCTAATTGCCTCTCTTTTTTTTTTTTTTTTTTTTGTACCTGGGATCAAACTCAGGCCGTTGCACTTGTGAAGCAGGCAGTGGCACCACTGAGCCAAACGCCTGGCCCTTCATATTCCCTTTCTAAAAGATTAAAAATTCTATTTAGTTTTATATTTTCAAAATATGTAATAGAATTTTGAACATTCTCCACTTGAATGATGTTGGAGCTGATGATATGCTAGGAGCCCTAAAATATCATCCTGTAACCTATAAATAAATACAATTGTTACACATCAGTTAAACACAGATATTAAAAATTATTTTAATAAATCTGAAATTCTAAACTTATTTCAGTACCAGAAATTTAGATAAAAGTATTACTTTTTTTTCTTTTTTTGGTATGGGGATCGAACTCAGGATCTTGTGCTTGCAAGACACACGGTGGCACCATTGAACTAAATCCCCAGCCCAGATATTACTTCTTTGAATATACTCACTGGGATTAAAGTTGTAACATGAATTTGAGGGACAAACAGTAACTCAGTCCAAGTCACTACTGATTCCATCAGAAATACTTCATATGAGAGTTGCTCTGGGTGATAAAAACGTAACCACCTTACACTGAAAGCCATCGACTCCACCAGTCTTCTAAACTTATTCTCTTTTCTCAACTAGAGAACAACAGATTCCTTGAGGTTGTCATTCAGCGTCTCCAGGAAGCAGTGAGCAGAGAGGATCTGCAGCTACTGGTGACTCACGATGGAACCTGGGACACCTTTGTGGCAATGACTAACTTTTCCAGATCACCTCCATGGGTATCCCCAGCTATGCCACCCAAACTCCTGCTGGACTGGTTTTCTTGGGACAGACACACCTCCTCCAAGAAGTCTCCTGTGGTGGGGCTTGAGGTGTCCCTTCTCAACAATCCCTGTGGGATATTTCCTCCATGTCATTTTGAGAGTGGATGGCCTCGGGCTGAAAGGACATGGTACCCACAGTGGGCAATATCACATCTACTGTCTGCTAGTTACGTGACCCTTGCCAGTTCTTTCACCACTTCCTGCCTTAGTTTCTTCATCCATTGCATTTTATTGGGAGAAAAACAAGATAATGCATAAAAAGTGCTTAGGATATGGCTGACACAGAGCAGATGTTCAAGCAAAGGTAACTGTAAAAAGGCCAGGTAGGAAGAGAGTGGGGCCATGGGTTTTCTCCTTAGAGAAGGGAGCCAAGAAGACTTGCTTTAGGACAAGTCATTAACATCTAGATGGAATCACACTTGTTCCCGTGTATTCTAGATCTGGCCATTTTTCTCCCCATCTGAGGAGCTATACAAAGGCATCACGATCCTTCTGTGGACCAGGAAGTAGAGCAGCCATAGTGGAGGTGGGCAGAGCTAAGTGGAAACACGGCTCACGCCTTGCAGACTTGGATTGCCATCTGTTCGGTGGGAACCACAGTTTAATCTGACAGGACCACAATGAAGGCCTGGGAGTGACTGTGGGGCAGAAGTGGGGAACAAGTGCAAGTACCACTCCCAGAGGCCCTCCAAAAATGAAACTTAGACCAGGGTCAGAGCCAAGGCTCGGGGGACAGGTGGAGAGGGCTCAGGATGGAGGAGAAGGCTGGGGCCAGAGGTGGAGCCAGAGCTGAGGAAGTAGGTGTTGCAGGCATAAAGCATAGGGAGGGCATCAGCCCAGCAGAGAGCACATGAGTAGAGGAGAGGACTTCCCTACCCCTTGCTGTGATTCATACCTGATGGGCATAGGGGACTGTGGGTAATTGTTTCCTTCACAACCTATGGATGCTAGACAGTTCTCAGTTGCCATTTGGGATCCTCTTCTAACCCCGCATAGTAGTGTGAGTCCTGACCAACAGAGAGCAGCATGGTTTAGTGTCCACTTTCAAAGTCAGAACCATTGGCTACCCGCTTTGTGTGATTGGAGAGAGTCCAAGGACACTCAAAAGTCTCCCCCTTCCTCTAGTACGTTGTCCACATGCAGGTGTTTTCCACCTTAGCAATTCATACAGAGGGGTCTCAATGTCAAACAACTTCATGCATGGCATTGGTACTTGCCCATGTGAAGGTGTCACCAGCTAAGGTGTCAGTTTGGCTGGTGACATCTGACAGTAAGGTCCCAAAGGTTGGAGTGTGAGGTGTGGAGTCAGGAGGTAGTAAGGTGGGTGGACAGTCATGGTGGAGCTAATCAACTGGCTTGGAAGCCTAACAGGGCAGCAGACCCTATGATCTTCAGCCAGAAAGGGCAAAGGGGATCAGGCATGGAATGAGAGCAGGTGGCAGAGGAAATAATCTTTACAATCCTTTCTGGCTCTGAATTCTAAAAAATATTTTTTAATCATACATATCCAGAGTTAGCCAGCCATCCAAAACCAGCCTTATTTTTGACATCAAATTTGGGAAGTTCCCTAAACCACCCACAAGGCTGACAATTCTCTGGGACTCAGAGCTTGCCGAAGATGGTTGTGACATAGTTACCATTTATCATGAAGAAAGGACAGAGGTTAAAATCAGCCAAAGAAAGAGACCTGTAGGACAGATCCTGGGATGATTTCAAGCATGAAGCGTCCATTTTCTTTTGGACAGTGTGGCCCTGTATTATTATGTAACTATTCACATTGAGGATTGCCTACCAAGGAGGCTAAGCCTGTGAGAGAAGTTATTCTGACGCATGTGGGAAGAGGAAGACTTTATTCAGCACAGTTGCACTGGGGAAACGGAGCAACTCTGGATGCAGTAAAGACAGCTGGGGATTTAGAGCCAACAGGCACTGGAGAGCAAATCATTACAGGGGTGTCCAGAGTAGGGGATTCTTAGCTAGACATGGTGGTGCATGCCTGTAATCCCAGCACTCTGAGAGGCAGAGGCAGAAGGGTCATGAGTTCAAGTCCAGTCTAGAAAACTTAGCAACTTAGCAAGACTCTTAAATAAAATGTAAAATGTAAGACTGGAGATATTGCTCAGTGGGGCAGCTGAGTTCAGTCCCCAGTGACACACACACACACCCATACATATGCAAAAAAGAGTAGGGGGTTCTTTGACACTGATGCAATGGGACTAAAGCAGGTCAAGACTAGTACATCAGAGGTCAGGAATGGGAACTTGGCCAGGTGTTGGGTGGGGTGCTCTCTAGCTGATGGTAGGACTTGCTAAGGCCAGGCTGTACAAGTACAGACATGGAAGGGAAAGGTTGATGTCCAGTTGAGAAGAGGTTCAGAAGGCTCTAACTAAACTTTGCTCAAGGAAATCATCTTTTTCACCCCATGCCTTGGTGTTCTGGCTTTCTGTTGGGGCTGGATCACATACTGTCCTTACGGCCATCCCGTTCCAGAGGTCAGTACCTTTAGCTTCCAGTTCCAATATAGGTCAGAAACATCCCAAAGCCCACAGAGCACACCACATTGTTTGGGCTGAGCAAACTTAACGGGGAATGCTTGGGATCAGGAGTGTTTCTGAATCTGGGTATTTTCTGATTTTGAAATATTTTCAGACACATAATAAAATAACTTCAGAATGGGACCAAAGTCTAAACACAAAATGTGATTATGCTTCTCTGTACTTTACGTACATAATATGAAGATAATTTTATTAAATACTTCCAGTGGGGCTGCATTCTATAGTGACCCATGCCATGGGGTGCAGTGTGAAACTTTCCATCTGTGATATCATCTCTAATTTAGAATTTTAGTGCTACAAATACTCAACATGTATGGCCTTATGATCAAACTTCCCAGGAAAGCACAGAGATTCCTAGAAGGCAGGGCATTCCTTGATCTCTACCTAGTAGCTGAGGGAAAAGGGAAGATTTCTCTCCGAGAAAGGTTAATTCTCACTATCCAATAAAATTCTCTAAACTAAGGAGATCTTTGCTCCAATCCCATTTTTCTGAGTTTACCCACAGAGTTCTTGCTCCATCGATTCTTTGGTAGTGGTGAGGCTGAGTTGAATGAGAGGCAACTTTATGGACTGCTTGCCACTAAAGAGCATCTGAAGATGACTTTTGTTCAACAACTCTCTTATTGCCAGGGATTTAGCTCAGAGGTTCTGCCGCCTGCCTTGTAAGCGCAAGGACCCAAGTTCAATCCCCGGTACCCCCCCAAAAAAAACTTTTATTGGCTAAAACCACAGACCACCTCTGATGGCCACACTTCTTCACTGAAGGAAAAATTGTGTACACCTGTAGAATCCCTTTCCATGTGGTTCACAGTAAGCTTTCTGTGATTCATGCAGGACAGACTTTATGGATCTCATTTTACAAAAAAACAAATTGCCTTTCCTAATCATTTGACATCTACTGTTATAGGGATGAGGCAGATGCACTACGTGAAGCTCTAAATGAATGTATAGAAGACACAGATGAAAACCTGTGGGCTACAGAGAGTTTGAATGAGTTTGCTAAGATGAGAATGGAGCTTCAGAGGCAGATAGCCCAGCTCTATGCCCTTGCAGACAAAATCGACAAAATACACAGGAAGTGCGCCATTTCCAACGTGATGACCAGCTCTACCCAAGCTGTCTCTGGAGTCCTAAGCATCCTGGGTCTGGCTCTGGCACCTGTCACAGCAGGGGGCAGTTTGCTGTTCTCAGCAACTGGGATGGGGCTGGGAGCAATGGCTGCTATGACTAGTGTTGCCACCACTATATTGGGCCAGTCAAGAGTGTCATCAGCCAAAGCTGAAGCCAGGTGCCTAGTGACAAACAGCAAGGACAGAGCAAAGGAGACGGCACAGTCTGTGGGTCAGGCAGAACTCAATGTTATCCTCAAATCTGCAAGATGTATCAATGCACTGAAAAGTATGAAGAGGAACATCCATGCCTTGAAACTAGTCAGAGTTAACCCTCACTTACTGGACAATTCTAGCCACTTCATGAAGATTTGGAAAATCTTTTTCCGAAAAGGTGAACAGGTACAGAAAGCCTTTGGAGGCACCGCTATAGCAATGTCCAAAGGAGCCCGGATCATGGGTGCAGCTGCTACAGGTCTCTTCCTTCTGATGGATGTGTACAACCTGGTGCAAGACTCCAAACATTTGCAAGAGGGGTCAAAGGCAGAGTCGGCTGAAGAGCTTCGGCAGCAGGCTCGGGTTCTGGAGCAGAAGTTTGAGGAGCTCATCCAGATCGAAAAGAGTTTGGAGTCAGACTTGCTCAGAGAACCCATCCCATAAGAAGAGCAGTCAGAAGTCACAGGAGATGTGTTTTTCAAAGGCATGAATGAATAGATGCATTTTATTAAGAGTGACAGAGTGTAAGATTAAGTCTGGAACTGGATAGTTAAGAGCCTGGTGTTCTATAGCTGAAAACAGTAAGGGAGGGACTCATGCAAATACCAGGTGGACTGAGGAGGATGCAGGAAATTGAAGCCTTTAATAAGAGACAAGAGGGAACTGAGGAGCGTAGGAAACAGGAAAGAAAAGTTTATTTCGAACTAATGAATACACTGGGGGCCTGGTAGATGCAGGTGCAGGAATAAGCAATGAGAGGATGAGGAAACTGAAGAGCCAAAGACAGGAGGAAGCAAGAGCTCTAGCTGTTGGACTCTGGGAAAAGAAACAGGACTCCATCTCCCACCCTCCCCATAGCCGCATGTCCCAGGCTTCTTGCCTCCGGTGGCCTCTAGCCCTATCTTCCTAGTGTCAACTCACTCTTGCCTGCGTCAGGCCCTGACTTCTTGATGGTAATGGTGGTGGTGGCCATGAGGGTGACCACAAAGTGGGTGGAGAACTTGGCACATAGCCATCCCCCTGGGGCCAAGCTGTAATGAGAGACCCTTGAAATTCCAGTGAAATTCCAAATGCTGTGTTGGAAAAACAGTGCTTGTTGAGGGGGAAAATAACATGAATTCAGATTTGAAGCCTGAATTAAGGATCCTGTTGCTATGCAGAGATAAACTAGCTGGCGATCAAAAGATGTCGTCTCCTGACCTTCAGTTTCCCCGTCAGCTGTGCAAGAAGACGCTGGACAAGAGGCATCTCACATCAATCAGGCTTACCCTGGCTTCTGTTCCATAGACTTTGATTCCATAAATATTAATTGATTGTTCCAGCTAAACCCTACAAGATGGTATTAATTTTGGCTTTTAAAAGTTACGTGTGCATGAAACCAGACTCTTAAGTGAAATAAACAGGACAAATGTGTAAATACCGAATAGTTTCTCTGGTGTTAAGAACCGAAAGTGTAAATAAGGATCAATCAAAATGTATAACAGGTAATGTGAAATAGGAAGAAAAGGTCCAAAGGGGAAGGGGAAGTGGGAGGGCTTGGGGAAAGGAAAGAAGGGAAAGGAATAAATACGAGAAAAGGAGAAAATGGAAACAAAGTCTTTGTAAATAGGGAGGGAGGGAGAGGTTGAAGGGAGGGCAGGGGAATGGGGAAAAATAAGAACCAAGATATGTTATGTAAAGGGGAAAATTCTCAATAATGAATGTTAGCATATTGTATACCTAAAATGTACCAATAAAATTAATGAAGGAAATAGAAGTCGTGTGCATTTTTTTTAAATACCATGTTTTCAGTTAATTATAATTTCTGACGCTCTTCATTTGCTTTGGAATACTAGATTCTTCCTAGTATCATTTCTCTTTAGCTGTGGGATTGATGTTTTCATGTCTTTCCCTGCATTTTTATAGGTATTGAATTCTTTTTAAAAATTCTTATAGCTCACCTTCTCTGTAAATATTGTAATTTTGCTTCCATTTCTGAAAGATATGTTTTCCATACCTAAATTTCGGGTTGGGTTGGTTTGTCTTCTGGCTTTCTGGTGTATTGATGACTCTCTTTGAGTTTTTTCCATCAATTTAACTGGTGGATGTAAATATTAATTTTGCTTCCATTTCTGAAAGATATATTTTCCATACCTAAATTTCGGGTTGGGTTGGTTTGTCTTCTGGCTTTCTGGTGTATTGATGACTCTCTTTGAGTTTTTTCCATCAATTTAACTGGTGGCTTCTGTTCCCAGCAACCACCAGAGGCCCCAACAGAGGGGTCCTGCAGGGCTCCCTTTGCACGGGCTCCTTCGGGGTGGCCTCACCACATCCCAGATTCAATGACACAACCACACTGGGAAGCTTGAGGAGCATTTAGTACTGACAGACCTGGGGGTAACAGGGGATCCTGGGGCCACACATTCTCTCTCACGCACACAACTCACTCACATGTGCATGTGCACAACCAAAAGATAGAGTATTGGAGTCAAGGCCTTTATTGGGTGCGGTGAGTTATCCAAACTGGTTTCCCAGATCCTGAGATAGATACCAGCGCCCTGCTCTTAGAATTCCCAGCCTCCAGGCTCATAAATTAATTAAGCTTCCATTCCTTGTGAATTATCCTCTCTAAGGTACTTTGTAACAGCAACAGAAATGGACTGAGATCCCTTGCCTTGGCTACAAAAGATGTCTGTTACTTCTTTACCAGCTACAGCTTTATCCTCATTCTGACTTCCTCCATCTAAAGATAGATTTTTTAAAAAAAGATGTCCATGGATAGAACTACCCCTCACTTTCTGTATCACCTAGTCTAGTCTCTTCTTCAAACCACACACCCAGAACCTATAATGGCTCTTTCTAGTACTCCTTTCCTGGGGACTCTAGAACTCAACTGTGTGTCTTCTCCCTCTGAGGACAACACACTCCACCTGTTCGACTGACTATGAGAATGTCCCTGAGGACCTTTAACTGGGGGACACTGCCTGCATAGGTGTGTGGATACATTTCTCTTTCCCTATTCTCCTGATCTTCATATTTACCTGCACAAGGACCTTCTGATTCTAATCAACCCTATCCTGAGTCCTTGGCCCCAGCTACTGGATGAAGAATACATCAGTGCTGAGCCCAAGCCAGACGTGATGAGCTTCACCATGGTGACCAGTAGGGCTGCAGGTGCCACAGTGTGAGGGAAATGATGGGCTGTAAAAGCAGAAACCTAGAGAGTGAGCATGGGAGCAATGGAGGACTGGCTCCCTGAGGCCCTGGGAGAAGATTCACGAGGAAGGGAGTCAGCAAGTAGTATCTGGATGGGACAATCAGTCAGCAAAACAAAACAACCATTAATTGGTCTCTGGGGTTTTGCTGTCAGATACAGATGATATCAGTCCCAGAAATGTGCCTAATGTCTTTGGTGTTAGCTTGAGAGAAACCAGGTACATTCCAGGTCTGATGGACTCACCCTGGTAAAGATTATGAGGATCCACCAGTCTTGCTTTTGCCCCTGACCAAGATTCTGCACATACACACTCAATAAAGATTACACTCTTTAATTCTGAATCCTTCTGCCTCTTTCTTTGATCTGATGGCATCCTCTTCCTTTGGCAGTTGGTAAATTTACACCAAATTCTCTGGGAATAATCAATCAGCACTTGTTAAACCAAACTCTAAAACATCACACAGAAAGAGCCAGATAGATCTGAGATGTTATCTTATAACAGCAGCCTCTCCCCAGCTGACCTAAAAACCGAGGTTCAGAGAGGTTGGTTTCTTGGCACGAACCTGGTTGATCTTAGAGACTATGAGATTTCTTGATATATCCCTAGAATCTGGTTTCATCCCCTCCCCAAATTAATGACTGTTCCAATACAGCACTTGGAATTTCACTAGAATTTCGATGAAAATAGGGCTGGATACACACCAAGTGCCTCACTAACTGCTGTCATGATCACCAGCATCACCACTGTGAAGAAGTCACTGCCTAAGACAGGCACAATGGTGCATGCCCTATAATTTCAGTATTTGAGATGCTCAGAAGAGGAAGCTCAAGACCAACCTGACAACCGGTAAGAATTTGACTCAGAAGAAGACGAAGAAGGAGAGGGAGAAGGAGAACAGGAGGAGGAAAGGAAGGAGGAGGAGGAGATGTAGAAGAAGAAAGGTGAACGGAAGGGGAGGGGAAGTACAGAGAGAAGGGGGAAGAGGAGGGGTGGGGGAAGAAGAGAAAGCTAGGGACCAGTGTTGTTACTGCTGAACTAAGACAGATATGCATTAAAACTGTAGAACAGGGCTAAAGAACAGGAAAGAAACAAAGTGATCTTACTAGAAGTAAGACTATGTAGTGTGCGTAGGTAGTGGACCTTCTGTTTCTTTTTCTTTTCATATATTTAATGCTCCATTTTTTGCAGTACATAATGACTATATTTGCCATGCAGAGTTAGTACCTATACATGAAACATCTTAATTCTTTTGCTTTCCCTCCTCTACCCTCCCTCTGCCCTTCCTAAATCTCCAGGTCCCCTTTAGAGCTTCGGTTTCTTCTATATTTCAGCAAGTATAAGTCTGGCTTCCTCCCCTTTGTCACCTCTACAGTGTTCCCGATCCTCCTGCTGCTTGTTCCTACATTTGTCTCTATTCATGCCCCCAAAGTATCGTTAGCCCCACACAAACCCTTTCTTCCTACCCCCAAGCTCTCTACTCCTCCTTATCACTTATTTCAGGCTCAAGATTCCTGACTTGCCTCCACCCATGCACTCTCTGCATAGCAGTGTTCAGCCACCAAAACAAAACAAAAAAACCCCCTCAATCTCCTTAACATCTGTTTGCATAGACTTTATCTCATCCTCTGTATTAATCGCTTTTCTGATATTTGACAAAAAATATCCAACATATGCAATTTACAGCTGGAGAGGTTTCTCTCGGCTCATGATTTTAGTGGGTTCAGTCCATGGTTGTCTGGCTCCAAGGCAGAAAGCACACAGAGGAAGGGCCTGCCGAAGGAAAGCTGTTCAACCCATGGCAGCCAGAAGGAAGAGGAGAAGAGAGGAGTTTGGTACAAGAAGAATCCTTTTCGGGTCACACCCACGGCGACCCCTCCCTCCAGTTCAGCCCCACTGCCTACCCGGATATTCAGTCATAAAAACATCAGGAGATTAACCCACTGATTAGTATAGTGCCATCCTGATCCAAGCACGTTCCAGAATCCCCTCTTCTGAACACCGTGAGATTTCAGGGGACAGTTTAGATCTGAACAATAATAACTTCTTTTCCAAACTTTCTTTTTATTAGTACAGTTTATGTTTGCAGTACATAAAGATTACATTCTTTGTGGGGAGTTGGTACATGTAAATAATACATCTTAATTCTCTTTTCATCCTCTTCCCCTCCCCTTCTTTCATCTCTTGGTCCTCATCCTATTTGCAAAAGATCTAGCTGCCTGTTTCTTACTGTCTAACTTTTACTGTGCTCTTTATTTACATTTTGGTTTTCTCGTATGAGAAATCACAGTATATTTATTGTTGTTGTTGTTGTTGTTGTTTTTGGTACCAGGATCGAACTTGGGCCCTTGCGCTTGCGAGGCAGGCACTGGAACCACTGAGCTAAACCCCCAGCCCATCACAGTATATTTAAATTTAGGTGTTTGATTTATTTCCTTAACCCCAAGTTGCATCTATTTTCTTACAAATGACTCAAAAATACCCCCTTTCCTCTAATAAAAAGCCTCCAGGGTTCCGTGACTTGTCCAGTACATGTCCCATGACCTCTGCACTATTCATGGCAAGGTCACTTATTTGGGCCCAAATGCACTGAGTCTTCACAAGGTGGTACACATCCTTCAAAAAGATGATACTTGTGATGACTTCACCCATAATCTGGACTCCCAAGGCTATAGCCAAGCATCTGTCTTGAGTCTTAGAAATAAACTCTCCATGTCTCAGGAGTAATGGTCCCCAGTTACACCTCTGAATCAAGGCTTGCACATTTATTAAACAAAGGAGAGTTTATCTCTAGGAGTCCACCAGCCCATCTTTCAATGGATCCCAGGCCTGCTGGCAGCTCATGGCTTCTAGTTTTCCTACCTTTCTTTATTCTTAACCATGACCACCAACAGCACAATTTGGTTTCCAGGGCTGGTGAAGAACTGAGGAATGGATTTCCAAGGAGCACGGTGGTGGTGGGAGGTCATTCTAACTTCTAATGTCATCTTCCACTTTTTTCTTTAGCATTTTCTAATTTTCATTGTACAAGTCTTTCCTCGGGATTAAGCCGATTCCTAGGCATCAGATTTTATTTCCATTTTTACTTGTTTTGGCTGGTGTTGTGAATGTAATTGTTCTCCTGACTTGCCAGCTACTTCATTACTTTTGTTAGATAAACCTTTTTTTAGTTTTTCACGTTGATATTGCATCCTACTACTTTGTTGAACTTGTTTCTTTTTTTTTTTGGTACCGGGGATTGAACTCGGGTCCTTGAGCTTACAAGGCAGGCCACCAAACCGCTGAGCTAAATCCCTGGCCCTGTTGAACTTGTTTATCAACTGTTAAAAGTCTTTTGGCAGAATCTTCAAAATCTTCTAAGGATAGATTCATATTGGGTGCAAATATGGATAGTTTGACTTCTCCCTTTCTTCTGTGTAATGATTTTTTTTTCTTTCTCTTGACTGCACTGAGCTAAATCCCCAGCCCAGACTGCTCTAAAATTTCAAGTCTAACGTTGAATAGCAGTGGAGTATGTGGACATCTTCACCTGGTTCCTGATTTTAGAGGGAATTCTTTCAATTTTTCTCCATTCAGGATGATATTTTTATGGGTTTGTGGTAAATAAACTCTATTAGGTTGAGGTATAATCCTGTGATTCTTAGTTCCTAGGGCTTTCTTCATGAATGAATGTTGAATTTTGTGAAGCCTTTTTCTGTCTCAGTTGAGGAGATTCTGTGATTTTTATCCTTGCTCCTATTCATATGGTGCACTATGCATACTGACTTTAATTTCTTGAACTATCCTTGCATCGTGTCTTCTCTTTAACCAAACTGTAATCTGCATTAACCCCTCCCTTGCTGCGTTTGTCCTTAGTGCCCAGTTGCTAAGTTTTGATCTCATCCCCTTTCTCCTGCTAACATAGTGCATCCATCTGTCCGTGCTTCTACCCAACACATGTGCCCTCACCTATGCGTTGCTTGGGGGACGGGTCACTGAGTCCTGCCTGACTACAAAGTCCTGTAGATCAGGGTGAGCTCCTCCAACTCCTCCTCCAGCTCCTGAGCCTTCAGCTGAGCTTTTCCACTAGCTCTGCCTTTGCCCCCTTGTGCAAATGCTTTGAGTCTTTCACAGTGTGGTACACATCTAGGCCAACGGAGAAACCTTCTGTGACCACACCCATGATCCGGATCCTCTGCTCATTGACAGGGCAGTGCCTTGAAATGCCCTCTCCACCCGCTGAGCCCTTTGGGCCGAGAGTCCCCCAGTGGTTATGAAGCGGATGGCATCTCATGCTAAGCGAGGGTGGACTAGGGCTCTCCCGAGAGCATGGATGTTTTTCCCCATGGCTTCAATATTCTTGATGAATTTCCTACAGTTTTTGATAAATTCCCTACAGTTTTTGATAAATTCAAACACAGTCTTATTCCAACCCCCTAGCAATTTCATTGTGTTGTCCTCATGGGTCGACAGGATGCGTTTGGCTTTAGCCTCTGAGGATATATGTGACTCTTCTGTGAGGGTAGTCGTAACACTAGTTGCGGCAGTCACTGTTCCCAGGCCTTTCCCAGCTGCGGAGAGCAGCAGGCTTCCCCTCGCTGTGAAGGGTGCCAGAGATAGGCCAAGGATATTCATGACTCCAGAGACAGCACCAACAGAGCTGGTCACCACATTGGAGACAGAGCAACGTTTGTGCACCTTGTCAGCTTTTTTGGCAAGGGTGCGAAGGTTTTGTATACACGACTCAAGCTCTGCTTTCACCTTGGAAACATTTTCAAAAACTGCTTCCTAGCTAAGATGTCTTCCTGGAGCCTTTTTTTGTTCTCAGTGGCTGTGTTTGCTATCAGCGTCTTCCAGTGAAGCTCCTTTATTCTCGGCCAAGTCCACCTCAGATGGAGGATCACCAAGGTCTTCAGCAAAAATGATTGGCCACCAACCAAACATAGGACCCTCTGCCCGTTACTCCCCACTACCTAGGTCTTGGAAATAAACCCCCAGTATCCACGTCCCCCATCAGCGCCAGCATCGTGGGCTCTCTCGTGCCCTGCACACGTACTGCGTGCTTGTTGCGCTGCTGTTGTGGAGCCTCCTGTCCACACAGCTCGTAGGCAGTATCTTCACTAAGGTCTGCCAGAACCAGCACCTCTTGCCCCTGGAGCTGTCCTGCACAGCGTCAGCTCAGATCGCTCCACAACCGGCAGCCTGACCACTCGCCTTACTGAGTCTTTCTCTGCTCCCATGGCAACAAGGGTTTGTCCCCATCTCAGTCCAGTTAGACATGTACATCTACCGGGGGGTTGCTGGAGGAGGCTTTTGACCAAATCTTTGATTCCCCCAAAATTTCTGCCCAAGAGATGATGATTCTAACTCCTCAGAAAGGAGCCCTCACTCTGCATCAGAAGGGACTCAGGGGACAACAACGCTGGCTCCTGTGAAAGGTGGATGAGTCAGCACCCAAGGCACCCAGGCAGCAGAGCCACCACCCCGGTGAGTTGTCACTTAAGGATGCTGCATGTGACTTTTGCTAAGATGTGAAATATTCTGGTAATGTTAGTGGTGATGGTTGGGCAATAATGTGAATAAATTCACAGCGCTGAATCGATCGCTTAAAATGGCTAAGATGCACTGGGCATGGTGGCACATGCCCATAATCCCACCACTTGGGGAGGCTGAAGCAGGAGGATTACAAGTTTGAGCCCAACCTGTGCAGCTTAGCAACTTTGCAGGATCCTATGTCAAAACAAAAATAAACAAGGACTAGGAATGTAGCTCAAGGTGAAGGCCTTCTATTCAGCATTTAGTAGCACAAAATAAAAAGCTAATTTGGTATGTTTTATGCTTTGTGTTTTTACTCCATTGAAAATTGTTATTTTTATTGTTTGTTTTCTTTTTGTTCTTTTTTTGTTTTTGTTTTTGCATTGCAGTTTTGGGGTTTAACACAAAGCATAGCACACGCTTGGAAAGAACAGTAAGATTAGCCTGCATCCTCTGTCTTCTCCCTCTGGCCCCACTGTCATCTCTATGGAGGAGCCCCAGGTTATTGTGACCATAGAGGAAAACATAGCCTATTGCTGGACACTGGTGTGTGTCTCTTAGCCTTTCCTTCCAGCTTGTCAGTATCTTGCTAAGGACTTTCCCATCTTTTTTCATTAAGAGGTTGACCTAGGGCAGGGGATGTAGCTCAGTGGTTCTGCCACCTGCCTTGCAAGCACAAGGACCCAAGTTTGATCCCCAGGACCAAAAAAAAAAAGAAGAAGATTGACCTATAGTTTTCTTTTTAGTTGAGTCCTTGTCTGGTTTTGAAATCAAGGTAAAGCTAGCATCCAAAGTGAGTTTGAAAGTACTTCCTTTCCCCCTCAATTTCCTTAGTTTGAGGAGTCGTGATGTTAACTCTCCCCTGAAATTCTGAAATTCTTGTAGAATTCAACAGTGAATCCATGTGGACATAAGTTTTCCATAGTTGATAGAAGTATTTTTATTACTGCTTCAATTTAACTGCCTGCTATTAGACTGTTTGCAGTTTTTAATTTTACTTGATTTACTATTGGTAGTTAATGTGTCCAGTAATCCATCCATTCTGGATTCTCCAATTTATGAGAGTACAATTATTCAAAGAGATTTTTAATAATCTTCTGAATTTCAGCAATATTTGTTGTGATTTCATCCTTTTCATTTCTAATTGAATCGAGGTAGGTTCTTTCTTTCCTCCTTTTGCTATGTTTGGCTAAGGGTTTGTCTATTTTGTCTACTCTTTTAAAAAAGCACTCCTTCAATTCATTGATGTTTTTTATTGTTTTTAAGTCTCAATATAACTACTTTCTGCTCTAATCTTTCTAATTTGCTTCCTTGTACCACCTCTGAATTTGAGTTGTTCTTGTTTTTTATGGACCGTGAGGTGCATTAGGTGTTTTATTTTGGCTTGCTCTGTTTCTCCAACGTGGGCATTCGCGGGCATTCATCGGCGTGATCTACTGGCTGCTTTCAAGATTTTGCATTTATTCTTGGTTCTCAGCATGTTTACTGTGATGGACTCAGATTAAATTTTCCAACTGATTCTGTTTGGAGTTCACAGAATAAATGGACCCATGCTTCTGTCTCTTTCGCCAAATTTGGGGACTTCTCAGCTACTATTTCTCTGAATACTTTCCCCCAGTGTACTCTGTCTTCACTGCTACTAAAATTCCTGTTTTCCATTTACCCTCAGAAATTATGACGTTTCTTCACAGGTCCCTGAGATAGTTTGTTTTTTAAACTTTTCCTACTATTTCCTCAAACGGGATAATTTCTAAAAAGCTTTTAAATTTGCCCATTTTCTATCATTTCCATTCTGATATTAAGCACATCCATTCAATTTTTGCATTTTATATACTGTATAATTCGACTTAAATTTTTCTTTTGCTTTTTTTTCTATTTCCTGTTCTCTCCTGAGGTTTCTATAATTTCTTTCAAGTATATTTTTCTCACTCAATCTAGCACAGTTAAAATAACTGCTTTTACGTTTTCATCTGTTAATTCCAACATCTGGATCGTGTCAGGGTTGGTCTTGTTGTCTTTCCTCTTGAGAGTCTCTTCCTATTTGAAGTAAATTTTATGGTAGCCTGAAATTATGAATGGTATAGAGAAGAGACTATGAATTCTTTTATATTACCCCAGTGATTGGGTCTTCTTTTAGTGGGCAAATTATTTGATTCGCCTTAAAAAGAAAACTCTATCCTATCTGAAGTGAGAAGCAGCTAAGGTCTTGTTTCTGGCTGCTGTTAGCCTCATGCATGTGTGACTCAGCATCAGTCACACGCTGGGTCGACATTAAACACAGACTTTGGAGTTTTCCCTCTTCAGCTTCTCCTTTAACACTTTTCCCTCAGTTTCCCGCAGTCCTGGTTGCTCTGGGCTCTGGCTTCCAGTTTCCTCAGGCCAGAAGGATGGTTAGCTTTCTCTCAAAGCATGAGATACTTGGCTATACTTCTCATATACTACTCATCTGCCCTTTATCCTTTCTTCCAGACTGGTAAGGGTTAAGGATACACCCTGGACATTTATCCATGTGAAAAAGCCCTTGCGAGGACAGAAGGTGAGACTGGGCTTCCCTCCCCTTGCTCCAACGTGAGGCAAGTTAAGGTCCCCAGCTTGGGAGTGAGACCTGGATTCCTCCTCTCTCTCTACATCCAAGCCTGAGTTGTCCCTCAGATGGCTCTCTGTAAACTCCACCTGGAGTTGACTTGTGAGTGAAGTACAAAACAGCTTCTGAAGATCTCGGTGCGAAGCTGGTCACAGCTCCCACAGCCATTAGGAGCGTCTGAGATTCACTTCCGTGCCTTAACCCCACTAAGTTTCGGCAGTTGGCGCCACCTGCTGGGCTGCCTCTGTTCCTAGAGCAGGATAGCTGCTCTGCTGCTCGGTTGGTAACTCCACCGCAATAATAAATTAGAGGGGCAGATTTTAATGAAAGGAAGACACTTTATTTGTAAAGAGGAAAAGGAAGGGGGATAAAGGAGAAGGTAGATAGCTATTGTGATAAGCAAGAATCAGGATAGGGGCTGTAGAAAGATGAAGGACCACACAGACCCTTTGTTCTCAGCCCTCAGGGGGTGGTGAGTGACTCCCCTCCCCCTGCAACTTGCCATAACCTGATTGGCTTCTGGGTACCTCTGCCTAACATCATTTCTTCCAGTGGTCTATGTGCAGTTTCTTTTTGTTTTTTTGAGACAGAGTCTCACTGGGTAGTTGAGAATGACCTGGAACTCACTATGTAGCCCAGGCTGGTCTCAAACTCACAGCAATCCTCCTGCCTCAGCCTCGCGAGTGCTGGGATTACCCTAAGATCACAGCAACATGGACAGGGTAACATCTGTGTTCACAGAAGCAGAGACACACTTAGAAATTTATGAATTTTGGTGTTGGTTTTGGTTTGTTTGTTTTTTGGTATGGGGATCAAACTCAGGTCCTTGAGCTTATGAGGCAGGTGGCGGCACCACTGAGCTAAATCACTGGCCCGAAATGTGTGAATTTTAAAATTCCCATTAATGTTTCAATGCTAGAGTCAGAGGACCAGGGTTGGCTCCACTCTACCCACCAAGAGCTGTGTGACGCTGTCACTTCCCCTCTCTGAGCCCCTCTGCTGTTTCTCCTGAGAGATGGAGTTAAGTCCCCTGCCATGCTGAGCCCCCGGCCAACTGTTGACCATGCTTACAGGAGGCGGATGCAGTGAGAGAGGGGACAGCAAGCATTGTGACTCCAGAGGCCACGGGGGCCACGAGACAGAGGGAGCTCAGGAAGCATCTGCTGGCTTCTCAGACCCAGGTAATGCTCTGCAGGGAGAGCGAGGACACAGCTGCCACATCCCAGAAATAAGGAGCACTTGGTGTAAAGGTGGTGAAAAATGCATTTTAAATGTTGGCAAGCAGGTAATGTTTAAACCTCACATGCAGAGTGCACACATTCAGGACACTCCGGTGGGCTGGTCAGACTGAGATTTGTGCAGCCAGGTGTTAGCAGCGTCTGTCCTACAGGATCCAAGGATGTTTCATTGCACACCACTTGCTGTTCTGTTCAAGGGTGGCTCACGATTCCCTTGCAGGAGTAGATAACGCTATCTACTCGTAGATAATGCTATCTACTCCCTGTGGCTGGACCGTTAGTTATTTCCCTCCTTCGTTTTTTTGTCTTTGCATTGCTGTTGGGGTGTTTTGGCTTTGGTTTTGGTATTCTGTTTCTAGTTTGGATCGGTCCATGGGTTGTTGGTTGGTTCACTGGTTGTTTGGTTGGTTTTTTGAGAAAGAGTCTTGTTATGTAGCCCAGGCTGGCCTTAAACCCCTCATCCTCCCCTCTCAGCCTCTCAAATGCTAGGATCACAGGCACATGCCACCATGCCCAACTAAGTGTCTCTTCTTTTGGGTATTAAA